TTTTGTACCTCCTGTTACTTTATCTTCACAATAACTTAAACTACCAGGCAATCAATACTGCAAGGTTAAAGCAACATCCAAGTTTGGCATTGGACAGCTCAATCCAGCTCCTCCTTCCTGCTATCTCTGTGCTGGAAGGCAAACAGAAGAGGACAGGAAAATATTTATCTGTTGTTAGGATTAGCTGGAGCAACACAGTGATAGCTCTAGCAAGCTGCCACTGTTAGCTGGATATGGCCAAGTGACAGTCCCCAAACCAAGCAGGTACAGCCAGAGGACTCAAGACTTGCTGAAGGAGGATGGCTTCATTACATCATGGTTCCAGAGAAGCTGAAACACACGGCCCTGTTAGACCTCAGACACCTCTCTGGCAGAGAACAGGCACTTGCAGTCATGTCCCTGTTGTCTCACTGTAGACAGACAGGACAACTGCCTCCAGCAAGGCTGGAGTCCACGCAGCCATTTATGAGGAATGCACCATGGAACACAGGCATGGTGTTCAACATGTTCAAGAGTTACAAATAAAAACAATGCACTGCCTACAACAGGCAGTATCTCGAGCTCATTTGCCATGATAAGTAATTGACAATTCCATGTTTCCTAACCTGTAGCAGTGCAGATGTTTGGTCACTTCTATATACAAATACGGGCATTTCCTGAAAAGCAGGCTTTTGCATTTCCTGAAAACACAGTTAAGGATTTAGGGGAATGCATCATGGATGTAAAAGTAATAATTATCAGTCCTTATGTACCTGCAGTAGCAGAAGGCAGAATGCTATGAACAGGCAGATTCTTCCCCATCCTGCAATCTTGTTGTAGAAAGAGCAGTGCAGACATTTGTCCTACACAGCACTGCAGATTTTAACAGGAGAGCAGAGGCAGCTGGGAGAAAGACAGGTCCAACTGGAAGCCTAACAGGACATTAACAAACTTATAAGTGACAGGCTAAACAGGCTGTGGGAGCAGACTCTTCCTGTTGCTTGAGGGCTCCCACATGATGCTCAAACTCAGCTGGTGAAAACTAAATTTGCTCCACTGTCTGCCAGAGCTGTATCAACTTACTGAAGTAAAGGGTGAAGGTGCTCAGCTCTGGGACACCACTGAAGGGCCATCAGCTGTGTAGAAATTTCATTCTAGGGGAAAAACAAAGAAACAAAGCAAAAAAAAAAAAAACAAACGAACAAAACAAAACAAAACAAAACAAAACAAAAAAACAAAAACAAAAAAAAAAAAAAAAAAAATAAACCCAAAACAAACAACAGGGGGAAAAAAACTGCTAAAAAGGAAGGCCAGGATGAAATCAGGCTTAGGAAGAAATACCTCTCTGTTCTGAAACAGCCTAGAAGAGGGGAAACTGTAGAAACTCCCTTCACAGTGCATCAGCATCCTATCGTAACATACATGAACTGCAGCACGCAGGATCATTTGTCCCAGCCATTCCAAACCTGGTTTGGTTACACATCATCTCCCCAGGCCAGGCTCTCCTAATAACGGAATAAAAATATTTTGCATTTTTCCAACCCTTTTCCTTTCCCCTTGAGGCCCAGTTCAAAGCTCTTTTATGTCATTCTGACAGCACAATATGATTTTAGGCAGATAAACTCAGCCCATTAAGAGATACACCCTGTGCAAGACATCTTGCTGGCACTGGAAAGTTGGCAGTGCAAAAGATTTGCAGTTCCCTGCCTGCAAGTGAGACCAGGGATCAAGTGACAAAAGCAAGGGTGGTGTGGAACAAGGCAGACCTGCTGGTATTCAGCACCAGGGGACACGAGTCTCTCTGCAGTTATGGTTAATGCTGCTGAACTTTTCTTCCCACCACACAAGCCTTTCATCCCTTGGACTTCACAAGGACATCCCACCTTCCAGTAGCTACTGTGAATCTGGCAATCACCCACCAGCAGCATTTTATTTCCACAGTGGGGTGAGAGTCCAGAGGCTTGCCAGCACCTGCAAAACAAGTAACTGCCAGCCCATCAGCAAACACAAGGCCTGACCCTTTGGAGGACCAGAGATGGAGACCATGCATCCTTACTCCACCTCCAGGTACTCCTTGTTGAGGAAGAAGGAACAACTCATCAGTCACCCATCTTACAGCCTCCTGGCTGCAAATTATTCAGATAAAACCCAGAGTGTGTTAAAGAAACTTTCCTGTCTGACCACCCAGGAGGCGGCCACTCTGGCAGTCACACTCTCCCCATTCCAAGACTTTCACTGCTGGGACCAAAGTCCCTTCACAGCAGATGGCTCCAGTGACCCCATGGGTGGCCCTTTTGGCTCCCTGCACACCCCACACTCACAGTCAGACAGGGTTTCCTTACTGGCTCAGCCCTTGGTTTCCCACCACAGTCTCAGATGTCTGGATCCTCTAAGTAATTTAATCGTGGTGCAGTGACACAAAACCAGCTTGACCTGGTGCCTCTGGGGAGGGACCCCTAACAAAAGCATTCCTGCACTTTTATACTGTTACAGTTTGTGCACCCAAACAGTCTGGGGTCTTCTTGCTGAGTCATCAGCTCCTGCTGTATCCCTGTGCCTTTTGCTGTCCAAAGGGTCAGCACCAGGTCACAGCCCCTTTCCTGGTGCTCCTGACATTTCGCCCATCCAGGGCACAAACTGTTGCTCACACTGCAGCTGCACACCCAGCTATCAACACTGGGTGTATTCCTCAAGAAGTGCCAAAGATATTTAACTATTTTCACAGCATTGCATGATCATCACACACTCTGCAACTATGATGTTCCCTAGACTGGGCTTTAGCCTTCAAGGAAAAGCTGTTCTCACGGTGATCTGCAGAATTCGGCCCCTGGTCAGAGATGTTGGCTCTACACACAGATCTTATTCTAGCTAAACACAACACAACATTTACTCACCTGGAAACACAGCTACACTTATCTGGGAAATTTCTCCCTCCTACTATTTCACAATTCTCAGGATGACAACAGTTACGCAAGAACAGCTGTATAGGCACATGAAATGCTTACAGCTTCTAAGCAAGACTTTCCCCAAATATCCCTTATCAGACAGCTCCAAATCCTATGGCTCCCAGGTTTCAAGGCACACCAGCCACCAGTCACCGTGCCCCCATCCCTTCTCTTCATCACACCTTTGCCCTGGCAGAGACCTACAAGAAAACACATGACACACAAGCGAGCAGGGGGCTGCTTCCACATGGACAAGCTGCTGTCACCTTGGCCAGCCAGGTAGGTATTTCCCCCATCTTGCCCACTAATTTTAATCTTGGCAGGAAAAAAGGGGAGCAAATGGCCTTGACAGGCTGTCAGTGATTTCTACCTTTTAGTAACTTAATACAGCACACTACCCCTTCCTAAAACGGCAGCAGGAAGACGCTCAGTGGCTCTGGCATCCTAGTAAGACATTAACAAGATTGCTGGGCACCAAACAGGACTGCAGACTTTCCTTCAGAGAAGAGCAGGGCTTCAGTTTACAACACAGATTTGATCCCTTTTCCATCTCAGCCATCCATCTGTGCCACAGATCGCCACCACCCCCAAAACATAACGCTCCTTACTACGACAGGCACTCGGTGAGCAGATGAGCCCAAGGGCACAGCACTAGGAGAAAAACTGCACCTGTATGAACAACTACAAGCAGCAGCATGCAGTTAAAAATCCTACAGGCAAGACATTCAAAGGGGTAAACTCTCATTAAATCCTCGTATTTATTTTCTGAGGAAGAGGTTAGAGGAACTGCTCCTATTAAATCATGCCTACTCCTTTGTTTATAACAGCCTGCAAAGCAAAACAGAAGTAGAGCACAAGAAGACAACCACCACCCAAGCCCCACACGATACATCCTTATCAGTACCACTCTTGCTCAGTTGCCTTTTGCTTGGCACTGCCAAGAAGCGGATTCTTGAGAAGCAAAGCCACAGTTACTTGCAGTGATCAAAATCACTGCAGATACCATCCCAACAGCAGCAGCAGCACCACGAAGTCAGATCCTAACTAAGAGTAGCAAGACTCTCAGAGATTAACACACTATGGTAAAAATACCCACCATTTAACTGTAAACATCTTATAGCCAAAAGACATCAGGCCAAATAAATATAGCTGGGATCCTGGCCTGACACCTGGCAAGGTATATACACTAAAATCTGAGAAGCCTTGCAGGAAGGACGCTGGGGCACTGGAAAATCTGATTTCCACAACTTCACCCTCACCCAGCAGCTGCAGAGGGTGCAGCAAGAGGATGCTTGGGGTCCAATTCCCAGGGTGACCTTGAGGAAATCCCATAGCCTGTCCACATTTCCACCTTCCCTGTCCACTGCATGAAGAGCACAATAACCTTGACCTATCTCAGAGAGGCAGGGGATCTGGCTTAGGAGCGTCTGGAAGGAGCTCAGAGGGGCTTAGGTGTAGGACCTGCGCTGCGACCGGGGCGGTCAGGGAATCCTACGATTCGCCCCAGAATCAGAAGCCCGGAGAAACTCGCTAATCGCTTTCAATACAAAAGGCTGCAGCTCCGGAGCACTGAAGGGCTGGCTGGAGCCGCACACGTGTCACCGCAGTTTCCCAGGCGCGGGCAGGGCAGAGGAAGGCGCACCGCGGCTGCAGCCCCCGCGCCCGGCAAGGGCAAGCCCCGCACCACGGCGAGCGGCGGCGATCAGCCCCGGGCCCCCCGCGCAGGCAGAGGGAGCCAGCCCGGGAGGAGGGGAGGGGCTGGGAAGACCTAAAAACCCCAGGGTGAGGAGGGGAAGTGGCGGCGGGCAAGGGGAGCCCGCAGCGCCGGGGAGGGGGGTGGGTACGTGGGGAGCCCGCAGCCCCTCGGAGCGAGGAGACGGCCATCCAGGGCCCGGGGGCGCAGGAAGGGCGGCCGGCACACCCCTGAGATGAGGGGCCGGGGTAAGCGGCGGCGGGGCCGGTGCAGCAGGAGCCAGGCCGGGGTGCATGGCCGAGCTGCATCCCGGCGGCAGGAGGGGTATCGGGACCCCCGGCGGCGCCTCCGGAGGGCATGGGAAGGGCCGCGTTCACACTTACCGGGCGGCGGCGGCGGCTCCCGCCGGGGCCGGGGACGGTGCGGCGCGGGGTGCGGAGCTCCTGCGCGGCGCGGCCCGGCCCGACTCAGCTCTGCCCCCTCCGGCCGCGTTCGGCGCAGGAGCCGCCGCCGCCGCCGCCGCCTGTCCCTCCCCGCCGGGGCGGCCGCCGCGTCCCCATGGCAACGCGGGCCGGGGCGCCCGGGGATCGCCTCCGCCTCCGCCGGGCGGGCGCGGGGGCCGGGACTGCCCCGCCGTGCCCCGAGCTGCCCCGGCCCGCGCCCACAGCCGTCTTGTGAGGCGCCTCACGGCAGGACACGGAGCGAGCGACAGCGGGGGGAAATAATAAGTCTGACATCTGTACCCGAGGGAACGGCCTGAAGTTGTGTCAGGGCAGGTTTAGGTTGGGCTTTAGAAAAAGGTTCCTCACCCAGAGGATGTCTGGGCACTGGAACAGGCTCCCCAGGGAAGCAGCACCAAGCCTGACAGCACAAGAAGCTTTTGGACAATGCTCTCAGGCACGTGGTGTGACTCCTGGGGATGTCCTGTGCAGGGATAGAAGTTGGATTCCATGATCCTTGTGGGTCCTTTCCATCTCAGCATATTCTGTGATTCTGTCACTCCCTTCAGGATACCAGCCAGGCCCACTGTGCCCATGCTGTGCACCCATGCTGTGCTGCCTGCTACCCCTACTGGCAGGCATTGATTTTTGGGGTTAGAAGGCTCCACTGTGGACCTGGAGTTCTCAGGAGCATTATGGGACTCAGGAGCTTGCTGGGACAAAACATCCACAGAGGCCGTTTCATCAGGCCTTGGAAATTAAGCATTTTAATGGTGAGGAGGACAGCAGCAGCCAAACAGATCTCTGTGCCTCTTGGGATGACCAGGTTCTTTGTGGTGAGGCACTGGCACAGGCTGCCCAGGGAAGCTGTGGATGCCCTATCCCCAGCAGTATTCAAGGCCAGGCTGGATGGGGCTCTGAGTAACCTGATCTAGAGGAAGGTGTCTGCTAGAGGAGGATGGAGTGAGATGACCTTTAAGGTCTCCTCCAACCCAAACCATTTCGTGATTCTGTAACATCCACAGGTGTGGTACCACCAGGGAAAGAGGTGAAGATCTCCAGGGGAATACATCTCTAAGAGCCTCCCTCATTGCTCACACACACCCTGTGAGTGTGGGATTACCAGCTCTGTACCAAGCGCCCATGGAAGCTGGCAGAGCATCACTGCACAGTTTTCTTGTGCAGTGAATCGGGGGTGACTAGAAAAGAGTGCCTACAAGGATGGTCCCACAGGAGCATGTAGGGCTAATGAGGACATTGTGTACACAGGAGAAGTGACAATTATATGGAGTTGTGATGGACAGCCCAGAAACCTCACAGTTATTCACACACCTGAAAACAAGAGTAGTTTGTTATCACAGTTAGGGATCCGGAACCCAAGGTGAGAAGAAGATATAAGACAGAGGCCAGTGAAGCATCAGAAGCCAATGGTAGTGTGTTGGATATAGGTGAAAAAGGGATCAGCTTTTCTTGTGTGCTTTTCAGCCTGGGCTGAGCAAAGCATGAGAAGATACAGCACTGGAGGTGGAAAGCTCCCTACAGAAGGGTGCTGCCTGACCAAGGGAGGAGACCTGTGCGCTGTGGCCATTTTATTGCGTGAGCAGCAATAAAATTTTATTGCGTGTCCAGCACAAGAGAAAAATGCAAGTGCAGTGAGCAGGGAGATGCCAGAATAGTCTATCCAACCCCACAGTCCTATCTCCACCATGTCCTTGGAAAAACAGGCAGCAAGGCCTGGGTTGCAAGCAGGCTGCTCTGGTGGGCACTGCTGTGGGAATTCCCAGTTTGGGAAACAGTGTTGGGGAGTTGAGGTCTTCTTACTTACTCCACAGCTCCAAAATTGCTTCCCACCTCTTTCCTTGGTGGTGGCGTATCCCCACCCTGCCCTGTTTTGTAAAGGCATCAGTGGGTTTCACTGTGCTGTATCCTCTCAGCCAGAAGCTGAACTGAGCTCAGTGTGGTTTGAGGTATCGATGTTACTGTTTATCACAGTGTAGATGTACTAGCAGGACACTACCACCCCCTGGCAAAGAAGAGGTTAACACTGTCCTCTTTTTGCTGCATCTCAGGAGGACTGCAATCACACATTTTTATTTTTGGTTCTGCTGCATAAGAACAACTGCTCTTTGTAACCTGCATGGCACAAAGGACCCGTTTCTTCCGGCAGCATTTAAGAGAGGGCATAAAAAAAGGAAGCAGAGGAAGAAAGTTCGTATTCAGCGAGTGCCAGGTTGTCAAGGTTTCCTCTGCTTTCAGACATGATTTTTTACTCCTGACAGATACAAAAGAGATTTAAAACTGTTTGGTGCAAAATGGAGCTTCAAAAGCAGCACTGTCTGTGTCTGACAGAAGGTGAAGAGCACAGCTCAGGACCTCCTGTACAAGGCAACGTTGTTGTCATCATGGTGCACACAGGAGCATTAGACCAGGTCTGTGCTCAGCTTGTCACAAAGCTTGCCCTGTGTGAGTCTCAAAATCCTGCACTGCTTTTAGCCCACCTCTCAGAGGGGCTGTGGGCTGATTCAGCCCTGCAAGGACATGGGTCAAGTTCAGTCTGCTGCAAAGAAAGAGGCTTTCACAAGGTCTCGCTCTTCAGTTTCCTTCCCCTCTTGTATTGTTCTCTGTTTTAATAAATTGTGGACTGCCAGCAAAATCCCCAAGTGCCTGCTGAGTGTGGTTATTAAACCAACGCTTAAAAAAGTGAAATTGGGCAAGCTTGGTCACTGCTCCCTTGGCCTGGACATGATTCTCAGAGCGCTGGTAGACAATTCAACTGATAAATATTGAAGAGGCAGTAATGTAATTAGCAGCAGTCAACATCGTTTTCTGGAAAAATCAATCCCAACCAAGCCTGATCTTGTTCTCCATTGAGACCACAGGATGTGCTGCCAAAGGTAACAGCACAGAGGTGTTAGGGGAGGCATCCAGGGGATAGTCAAACAGAAGGAGTAAAATGAACAGACTCACAGCTGGCCATCGGCTGGGATGGCAGGAAGCACCCAGAAACCACTGGTCTGGTTTCATTTTCTGTGCAGGTACTTGACATTACAGAAGCGAGAGAGGATGTGGATGCAGCTGGAGAGTGCAAGAAGGGGACAGCTTAACCCCAAACACAGCTCCGTTGTCCCCAAAAGCTCAAGCTGCAAGACCACACTGGTGAACCCAGTGTATGTGGTCTGTCTGTCCTCTCTGCCCATTACTCCTTGAAAAGAGGCTGCAGACATCTTCTTGGTAGTTATTTGATTCAAATGCTGAACAATTAGTAGGAATAAAGTCCCTGATGCTCAAAGCACACGTGGAAAAAAAAAAAAAAGTAGAATTTCCTGCCTTTTTTAAGTGACTTTTAGAGCAGCTGGTTGACCCTGGCATTCTAATGAGAGCTGGCTTAAACAATGGGCCAGCTCCTGCAACACATCCTGCAGGACTGGCAGCCTCCAGTAAGCGCCAGCATCTCCCAGTGCCCAGTACCTGTGAGGCTCCAGCCTCGGGCTCCCTGGCACCCAGCAGCCCCGTTCCCTGCCTGTCCACAGCACGTGCCACAGCAGCAGTGCCTCAGCTCCTTTGGCAGCCAGCACAGGCTCCCACGCTCAGCACAGACAACACAAGGGAAAGCAATCTCGTGCCCTCCATGCTTATCTCCTGGATAAAACAGCGAGGCACTTTTGTTTATTGAGTGCCGATGAATGGCGCTGTCTTGGCTGTGAGATCGGCCTCCAGATCCCACTCTGGGCACAGCTGCTGGCAGGGAGCCTGCAGCTGCAGCCACCTACTGCCCTGGGAGCCTTTCAGCAGGGCCTTCCCCCTCAGCCCAGGGACAAACAGCATCCCACCATATGCATCTGTCCCCATGCAGAGGTGGCATCAGATTTATAGGGCACTGATCACTCCTCCCCTGCAAGTATGGCCCAGATGGGTGCCAAAGAATGTAGTTTGCTCCAGAATTTTTCAGTATTCCTCACCTTCCACAGCTCGTATGTTTATCTCCCCTTTCAGCAGCTGACAAACAACTGTGAGGAGTCTGCATTGGCAGTAACCTGCATGGCTGTTTCTGGGGGCGCAGAAAGGTGAGGTGGCTCCATGCTGCCAGGATGAAGTGGATGCTGAGGACACTGTCACCCTGCCATAGGTGAAACAGCTGGACCTCAGGGAGAGTCACAGATCGCAGGCTTGCCGCCTCACCAAGAGCTGCAGCCAGCTCCTCCAGGGCCATGTTATTTTAGGACCCAAAAAAGTTGATGGATCCATTTGTGACTGTCCCTGCCTTGCAGCCATCATTCGTGCACAGCAGTTGCTACAAAATAGCCTGTTTAAGCAGCAGGATTTTCTTTACTCTGCCCAGACTGCAAAGAAATCATCTCTTGTAAGGGATTTTTGAGGGGGAGACACTGTATTTTCTTGCTCCTTTCAATGCCCCAGGATGAAAGCCTCGCCAGAACTGTCACTCAGCCTGGTGCTCCTGCCACACATGAAGGCTGTGCAGACATCAGGAGACAGAAACTTGCCATGTTGAGAGAGAGCAGCTACAATCAATATCACAAGCCATGCTTGCTCTCAGCTCTGGCCTTGCGGAGGTGCTAAGAATCACAAGAATTTCTATTCTTCTCCAACCTGGAGAGGAAAAAAACCCAAAAACATTTGCCCTGAACCATTGCTGCTTCTAGAGGGAGTAAAATCTTCCAAGGATGTGTCTGAAGAAGCAGCAAGGTAAAGATTCATACCTAAGCTCATGTCCTCCCCTGGCTATCCTGTTACTACCTCCCTCATCCAGCTTTCCTGTCCTACTTCTCACCGTAATCTAAAGCTTCTCTGCATCAACAGAGCAGAATTAGAAGCCTAACCAGCCAGGCTCATCAGCCAGGTCTCTTCTTCACATGACAGGGAGAGATGGGTCACTTTATATGGGCTGCAGCCACCCTCTGCAAAAGTCCCACTCTCTTCTGGACATGCAGATTTGCTGTTTCTAAACCTGGGAGAGTCACAGATCCAGAAGACCAGGTCTGGCCTGTGGCAGAAACCTGGCAGAGACAGTATGGCTGGGACACATCTGGGGTTATTCAGATCACTGTGTGA